GAATAATTTAACATTGTTTACAGTGATAACAGCTCTTTGTCCAAACGAAGCTTACGCTAGTCACAATAAACACGCTCTTGAATAAAAACTTAAATAGACAGATTTAGGCGTCAGGAACGATTGAAATGTCCGATAAATTACAACAAAATGTTTTAAAAAATAAATTTAAAAACTGCCGAAAAATCGCCCTGGACGATTTCTTGGTCCCATTTAGCTGTGAAGGGTTAAAATACGTATTTCACAACCGGAAGTTCGACCTGCAGTTTCACTGTTTCAGCTAGTTTCCCGGCCGATCGCGTTGTTCCAACGGTCTATTACGACAAACGTGGACAATGACATTCTCAATTTTCCCACTGTAGTACATTTCCAATGAATGAAAGATACAACAATTTTACGTAAATATTAATTTATTTTCAGAGAATTACGGGATGTCTTGACGTCATTGACAACGCAATATCAATGCTACTCGCACTATGTACATTTTAGCACTAGATCTAGTGCCATTTTTGCACTAGATCTAGTAGTTTTTAGACATTGCCATGGTTATGCATTGCCATGGGTTTCTCATTGCCATGGGTTTCTCATTGCCATGAGTTTCTCATTGCCATGGGTTTCTCATTGCCATGGGTTTCTCATTGCCATGGGTAGACATTGCCATGGGTAGGAATTGCCATGGGTAGGAATTGCCTGCCATGGGTAGGAATTGCCTGCCATGGGTAGGAATTGCCTGCCATGGGTAGGCATTGCCATGGGTAGGCATTGCCATGGGTAGACATTGCCATGGGTAGACATTGCCATGGGTAGGCATTGCCATGGGCAGACATTGCCATGGGTAGGCATTGCCATGGGTTTCTCATTGCCATGGGTAGGAATTGCCTGCCATGGGTAGACATTGCCATGGGTAGACATTGCCATGGGTAGACATTGCCATGGGTAGGCATTGCCATGGGTATGCATTGCCATGGGTTTCTCATTGCCATGGGTAGGCATTGTCATGAGTATGCATTGCCATGGGTTTCTCATTGCCATGGGTAGGCATTGTCATGGGTATGCATTGCCATGGGTAGGCATTGTCATGGGTAGGCATTGCCATGGGTAGGCATTGCCATGGGTAGGCATTGCCATGGGCAGACATTGCCATGGGCAGGCATTGCCATGGGCAGGCATTGCCATGGGTAGGCATTGCCATGGGTAGGCATTGCCATGGGTAGGCATTGCCATGGGTAGACATTGCCATGGGTAGACATTGCCATGGGTAGGAATTGCCATGGGTAGGAATTGCCATGGGTAGGAATTGCCTGCCATGGGTAGGCATTGCCATGGGTAGGCATTGCCATGGGTAGGCATTGCCATGGGTAGGCATTGCCATGGGTAGACATTGCCATGGGTAGACATTGCCATGGGTAGACATTGCCATGGGTAGGAATTGCCATGGGTAGGAATTGCCATGGGTAGGAATTGCCATGGGTAGGCATTGCCATGGGTAGGCATTGCCATGGGTAGGCATTGCCATGGGTAGGCATTGCCATGGGTAGGCATTGCCATGGGTAGACATTGCCATGGGTAGGCATTGCCATGGGTAGACATTGCCATGGGTAGACATTGCCATGGGTAGACATTGCCATGGGTAGGAATTGCCATGGGTAGGAATTGCCATGGGTAGGAATTGCCTGCCATGGGTAGGCATTGCCATGGGTAGGCATTGCCATGGGTAGGCATTGCCATTGGCTAGGCATTGCCATGGGTAGACATTGCCATGGGTAGACATTGCCATGGGTATGCATTGCCATGGGTTTCTCATTGCCATGGGTAGACATTGTCATGGGTAGGCATTGCCATGGGTAGACATTGCCATGGGTTTCTCATTGCCATGGGTAGGCATTGCCATGGGTAGGCATTGCCATGGGTAGGCATTGCCATGGGTAGACATTGTCGTGGGTATGCATTGCCATGGGTTTCTCATTGCCATGGGTAGGCATTGTCATGGGTAGGCATTGCCATGGGTAGACATTGTCGTGGGTATGCATTGCCATGGGTAGGCATTGCCATGGGTTTCTCATTGCCATGGGTTTCTCATTGCCATGGGTTTCTCATTGCCATGGGTTTCTCATTGCCATGGGTTTCTCATTGCCATGGGTAGGCATTGCCATGGGTAGACATTGCCATGGGTTTCTCATTGCCATGGGTTTCTCATTGCCATGGGTAGGCATTGCCATGGGTAGACATTGTCGTGGGTATGCATTGCCATGGGTTTCTCATTGCCATGGGTAGACATTGCCATGGGTAGACATTGCCATGGGTAGGCATTGCCATGGGTAGACATTGCCATGGGTAGGCATTGCCATGGGTTTCTCATTGCCATGGGTTTCTCATTGCCATGGGATTCTCATTGCCATGGGTAGGCATTGCCATGGGTAGACATTGCCATGGGTAGGCATTGCCATGGGTTTCTCATTGCCATGGGTTTCTCATTGCCATGGGTAGGCATTGCCATGGGTAGACATTGCCATGGGTATGCATTGCCATGGGTAGGCATTGCCATGGGTAGACATTGCCATGGGTAGGCATTGCCATGGGTTTCTCATTGCCATGGGTTTCTCATTGCCATGGGTAGGCATTGCCATGGGTAGGCATTGCCATGGGTAGACATTGCCATGGGTAGGCATTGCCATGGGTTTCTCATTGCCATGGGTTTCTCATTGCCATGGGTAGGCATTGCCATGGGTAGACATTGCCATGGGTAGGCATTGCCATGGGTAGGCATTGCCATGGGTAGACATTGCCATGGGTAGACATTGCCATGGGTTTCTCATTGCCATGGGTAGACATTGTCATGGGTATGCATTGCCATGGGTTTCTCATTGCCATGGGTAGACATTGCCATGGATAGACATTGCCATGGATGGGCATTGCCATGGGTTTCTCATTGCCATGGGTTTCTCATTGCCATGGGTAGACATTGCCATGGGTAGACATTGCCATGGGTAGACATTGCCATGGGTAGACATTGCCATGGGTAGACATTGCCATGGATGGGCATTGCCATGGGTTTCTCATTGCCATGGGTGGGCATTGCCATGGGTTTCTCATTGCCATGGGTAGACATTGTCATAGGTATGCATTGCCATGGGTTTCTCATTGTCATGGGTAGACATTGCCATGGGTAGACATTGCCATGGGTAGACATTGCCATGGGTAGACATTGCCATGGGTGGGCATTGCCATGAATGGGCATTGCCATGGGTGGGCATTGCCACGGGTGGGATGAGCTCTGTATAAATCCCGCCTTTGAGTTGGTCAAGTCATGCATTGTTATACGATAGTTATAAGGTTACAGCAGAAATTTACCTAACAAATATTATTATTCATCTGCACTGTAACACTACGAGTTGCAGCGTGGTATTACATTGGGTATTTTCATCCTTCCATATTAGGAAACTAAAATTCCAAATATGGACTGAATTCGAACGTTCTAATAATAAAAACAAACGTGGCTGCCCCCATTGGTTTGACCGGACTCCTCACAAAAAAGTTCACTAAATCTGTTCTAATGTTTTTGGATTTCGTCATTCCCATGATGTATTCCTGGGTTGATACTCCTGCTGTACTGTCTTCATGCATACTTTGCAGTATCCTTGTAATAACCTCATATTAGCTTATATATTATACCAACATTTCAATTGCCTGAATACTTAATTCCGATTTATTCCATATTTTTAATTATGTATGACGTGGTAAAATACACCCTATACCAATATTTTTAGTGTTTAGAAGAAGGCCCTAAACATGAATAGTGCACAGTAGTGTTACATTATTCTGTCAACTGAAATCAGCAAAAATATTATTTTATGTTGTGGACATAGCATGTAATAAAAATCAGTATGACCATGGAGTATTTTTGGTTCAAAAGAGAAGCATGAGAACAATAATTTTTGGGGAATTATGCAAACAACGCTCGAAAAAGGATTGCTGTCTGTATTAGTTTGTTTGTGAACCCAGAAGTTTTGTTGATTTGTATAGCACTAATTTAAAATTACTATATAGATTGGACAAAATATATGTAACCACTTTTCAGGAAGTCAAATTTGATTGGTTAAACCCAATTATCATAAATATTTGCTCAATTGTTGGACAAATAATGTTGCATTTTGAAGATTAAATGCAAACCAGATCGGTGGGACATCTGGCGCTGCTTTGTATCATGTGACTGTTATATGTTTTCTTTCTTCATAGAGACAAGTCGGCAGAGTGAATGGGATGGTATAATCGCATGTCATCTTGGTAGTCCTGTTGTTACATCATGGAATTATCAAAAGTGCAGTATGGGTAAACATAAAATACAGCATGAGAGGTTTACAGAGGAAAAGCATATAGAAGCATTGGTGAGTGAGCACTATATTTATGGAAAAATGATACAGTAAATAATTTTCAAAACATCACAGAACAAAACATCTTCCAGAGAAGATAAATCATACTTTATGTGAACTCTGCTATGTACATTATAATGTCTTCACTGCTAATTAAAACATTCAAATTCACTGGTTTTATTTCCATCTAAAAATGATAATTTTTTCTGCTTTTTGCAAAAAAAAATAAGATTTAGATATAGTCTTGTTCGCTTTCACAAATGCTTATGCCATCTACGTGAACTTTTAACATGTGATACATTATTTAGAATCTGATATGATATAATGAAGAATTTTAAATGTTTTGGTCAAATAGAAATCTGTGATCATAATTTTGACCAAATAGATATAATTTTCGGCCTTGATGGAAATGTTGGAAAAAATATGCAAAAAAATTATACAGGTTTTATTTTGAAAAAGGTGATAAAATTTGACTTTTGGTGATGAAAGGGTTAAATGTAAATATTTTCCCCCAAGAAATACAGTGCAATTATAGAATCATTATTTCTGGTAACTTGGTTTAATTTCTCTGGTAAAATGTACTGATTCCCAGTATGTATAAATCACTAATACAGTTTATCATTACAAAGTTTTGGTGTATGAGCTGTAGGAATTACTGTTGATTCTTGGTATTTTTTGTTTCAGTGTACAGATATCAGTAGTTGTGGTAATTTCTTTATTGTTGGTTGGAATAAAGGTCATGTTGACCTTTATAACATTCAATCTGGTATCCATAGAGGCCAGTATGGCCAAACAGTTGGTGAGTGTTAGACACAATGTAGTTATAACTCTAATAATTTCAGTTCTGTATTTTCTTTAACCTTGTACAGATACAATAAAAGTAAGATACTAAGTATATTTTAGATTCATATTTCTCTTTGTCTACTGTGAATGGTTTGACATGTGCGAGACATCATCATTTTATCAAAATCATTTCATGAATAGAAATATTAATAATATTCAGTCACATGTTCAAATTCTATGTGGGGGTGAACACTGCTTTAACACTGAGTGTGTCACAGACACAATAGAAAGGCCAACGCCATACTTGACTGGAATTTGTATACAATTTATGAACACTTTTGTTCCCTGGCTTGGTTGATGCCAGATGGCAAGATGATCACTCAGTGTTACATACTCTTTAACATAGAATAAGTTTTCTATGGAAAATACTCTACATATACCGGTACCATCAGCATTTGTAATTTACACATAAAAAAAATTTAGGAAAAACAGTGACATTCAGTGCTGGGAAATGTCACCTGGCACTCAGACATTAAAAAATATATAGTTTTGATACATTTGATGATTTATTAATCACTTTAACTTTTCATTTCAGCTCATAGTGGTGCTGTTAGAGGTGTGGCCATTGACGGCTTGAACCAGATCGTTGTTACAGCATCTACAGATAAGACGCTTAAATTCTGGAGATTTAAAAAGAAGAATCTTTTGTTTACGTTGAAAACAGATTTGTCAATATCTCAAATATTGCTGCACAGAGAGAGGTGCGTTGATTATATTATGAAGCCATTGGGTAAAAGATATCAGGTTTAACTAGGACTTCTGCAAAATTAGGTTGTTTGCAGTATAACATATCCTCATCATTTTTTCCTTGTGGTGAATATTACCTCTTGGTTTAGTCTTATGAACAGGTTTATAGTTACTGTAGGTGCCAAATTAAACTGAACATGAAAACTACTATCTCCTGATCAATTTTCTTTGGAATATAGCAATGTCCCTTGGGACATTCTTAGTGGTGTTTGTTTTGACAGTCGGCACCCCAAAATCAATCATTGTCACCAGAGTGGAAGAACTGTCTGAAAGAACCCCTGCTGTTTTTAGCTCCCGTGAAACGGAGCTTATATGGTACCGGTGTCTGTGACTCAGTGATTCTGTGACTAAAATTTGTTCCACTCATAACTCAAGATCTACAATTTCAATTCAAATGAGATTTGGCACATAGCTAATATATGATGAGTAGATGTGCTGATTAGATATTCTGTCGCCAAAAAAAACTGGTAATATTTAATTGGAAGGTCTGCAAATTTGCGAATTTTAGTATATAATGATTTATTATATCATGATGGATGTTATTTGAGCAGATACAGTGACTAAAAACATCAAATGTATGCAAGTATGGGGAGTACGCATGCGCAGTTACAAGAGTGACGCGGCCATTTTTTCAGCAGTACCCTTTCCGATTTTCATGAACGCAAGTTCAATTTCACTTTGTGCGTCATATTCATCAATAGACAAAATCAAAGACAGATGCCGTACAACTTTCTGCCAATCTTGATTCGTAAATGTGCTGGTTACATGTACAGTGTTCTCCTCGGGCCTGCGTCGCTTAGACAATAGCAGCATAACTTTCGTTTCGCAGTGTTCTCATCAGGTCTTTTAAGGGTATTGGATCCGATACTGTTCTTTCTTTCAACGATACTGTTTCCCTCAAGCTGGGCCGTTTCCAGGCCATTGTTTTGCAATGATGAATCAGAACAGAACAATTCGTGTGAACTGATCGATCCTAACTTATTATCTGGATACTCGTATTTACCTGCGGGTCTGCGGATACTTCGGCCTATTTTCAAGCATGAATATAGAAGGAAATCAACGATATTTTTTCAGTATCGTTCCAGACTTTGCAAGAAATTTATATAATAATCACAGTGATCACTACTATTGGGTTCAAAAATTATTTATGATCATTCAAAATATAGTGGCCATGGCTGTCTGTTCAACCCAGTACTGACCTTCACCACTATTGCGACACCACGAGCAGAGAGATGGAAAGCTGAATCCCTGCATCTACACTTAATCCATGTACAAGGCAGACACTCGACAGCAACACCAAGGAAGTTTGTCAGTTTTATTCAAGATATAAATTTTCTATTTTACGCATTGGAGTTACACAACGTGACTGAAAGCACTTCCAATGTGATCTAATTTGTAAACAATCTCTTTGCACACAACTCCTAGTGTCTTCTCCCAATAATGTTTGACATTAGTTTTCGCATGGTTTCCATTTTACTCAAATAAAACAAAGCAGTTGATTCCTATTTTACTTAGTGTTTATTCTTGTTTGTTATTTTTAAACAAAAATGCACTCATTAAACAAATAGTAAATATGCGATTTTTTTGTTTTTGACGAACGAGGACAAGGAAGACAAAATGGCGGTACTTTTGTGTAGGGTCGATCGCGATCTTCGGATTGTATCAAATCCATGTCTCACAAATTAAA